CCCATAATTAAAATCGATCTTCACCCTTCTGCAATTCTCTTTATACATGTATTGTTAATACGTCCAAGAAGTTTGACCCATTTAAAATGCTATGTTTTAGAAAAAGTACAGCTTAAAGCGAGAAACGATTTACAATAATTCAATTAATAATAATCATATATTTTGGATCTAATACGTTTTTCTCAGTTGCTTCTCAATTGTTATTATTATGTGACTCAATAAATTAAAAAGTATAATCAAAAGAACATGGAAAATAAGGTGTGATAACGCTGCGGCAGCCCAAGACCACATGGCGGTCCTGCCGACGCAATCCACAAATGCTCTTTGTAGAAAATCAGAATTTTTAAAGCAGAAATGTAATGCGAAAGACATGGAAATACTTGCAAATGTAGATGAATTTGCTAAAACTACAATGCTGTTGGAAAACAAAATTTTTCTGGTGCAATCGAAAATATAGCCAAGTTGGCAAAGCGTTTTTAAAGTGTTTTCGTGCTGACTTGAAATTAATCGTAAATTAAGACAGGATTAGGAATCCATTTGTAATAATCCAGAAAATCTTTCAACTACCGAAGAAGAACTTCAGGACTCAAATTTTATTATCATTTTCAACATTTTATCTATATGAAACCAAATTTTGTTTGTTTACTTCTTTGAAGATGTATCATAGATCTTAAATATGTAAAAAGCCTTCAGCGAGTTAATTTTCAATATTCATTTTTCCTGAAAAATAGCCCAAAGGAGTCACTTATAATAATTATTAACTAATAGTGTGTTATGTCAAAATGTCGTTTATAGTTTTTTTTTTTAATTTTTAACGTAAGCAAATTTTTTAATAATATTTTTCTCAATTTTTCTTGATATATTTGCATCACTCATTTAAAAGTTTTTGAATGTAATTTTTATTAACCAGTGTTGAATATCACTTTCGTGTAGTTAAATTACCTTTTAAATTTCTATGTAGATAGTAAATTTAACTTTAATATAATAAAATAAGAAATCCTTTTAAAAATTCAACAGCAACAATATACTTTAAGCGTTCTTTAAAACTAACACTATTTCACAAATATCGACTCAGTATAAATAAACTATTAACATATGATTAAAACTTTATCTTGCTCTTTTTTTTGTAATGACAATTTTTGACTTATATTAAAACATCTAATTGATATGAAGTAGGACTCGGTTGTACGGATTATATTCATATAACAGTTAAATATTTCCATTTATATTATTTTTGTTAATACTTTTCCTATATTGTCGATTCTATAAAAATAATCCGTACAATCTTCGTAGAAATTGGTATATAAATATTTAAAAATGTTCAGTCGAGAATTATTAATACTGAAAATTTTCGTTACAGGTTCCAGAACGTTACCTTGTTGCTTATCGTGATTGTTACTAATAAAGAGAAAACAATGGAAGCAATCGGAGTCCTAATCAAATTGCTTAGTTTGCTATTATGTTGAGATATGTATCCTGGTTCTACGATATGTATTTTCCATCCTAAGTTATTGTGCGTGTAACACTAAAAAATTAAAATAAAAAAGATTAGTAAGGCAAGTATAGCATAACTGGAATAATCCAAACTGGAATTTTATAAATTAACATAAAGTTTATAAAAAAGATGAAGTAGCGATCTTTTACCTATACTTTCAAAAAGCTTTATTATTTCACTCTTTATTTCATCCGGCCCAGTCGCTTTTCTGGCCTTTGGTAATCTTATTAGAAGATCCAGAAAAACTATGGAGTGAATTTAAAAAACCAAGTTAATGAAATCTCTACAAACAATGATTATAGAAAAAACTTAATCAAGAAAAATAAATGGATGACAGACAACATCTTAAAATTAATGGAACAACGTCGACTGATAAAGTCTAATGTAAGAGAATACAGACACCTACAGAAAAGAATAAAAAAGGAGATCAAATTAGCCAAAGAAAAATAAATGGATGACAGAACCGTGCGACGAAATTGGAAATGTCAGTTCATAGACGAATAGATACCTTGGACAGCAAGGAAAACTAATGAAGAAGTACTAAGGAGCGTCAACAAAGACAGAACTGCTAAAGACTATTAAACATTGAAAAATATCTGATCTGGGACATATAGTAAGGAGAAGTCGATATAAAATTTTACAACTGATCCTTAAAGGCAAAATATCAAATGCAGATAGAAAAAAAGACTCAGATATCAAATGCAGAACAATCATTCCAGATTGCAAAAAATCTAGAAGCCTTCGCAATAGTAATCTCCAACGTCAGATAATTCTGATATGGCACGCGAAGAAGAAGAAGTAGGACTAATTATTCATACACCGAAGAAGCAAACGAATGAACTGAAAGTACTGAATAGTGTATAACAATTTGTTTGCCAATAATAGTCATCGATGAAATAAATAAGAACAACAAAAAACATTGCATCATTCTTCAGCACCTTAAATAACTGCATCTTTTAAGAAAAAATTTCATTAAATCATTGTATGATTGCTCGTATTATATGTATTGGTTTTATTATCCGCATAATGACGTTTCTTGTCCCAACTGTCAAAAACAAAAAATGAAAGGACAGCGATTTTACACACAGGAGATTACTTGGTCCGCCACACTCACACCAATATCATTAGCCATTTTACTGGTAAATGGTGTAAGTAATATCATGCAATTTAAATGACAAGGGAGAAGGGAGATAAAAGAATTCTCTAGTTGCCAATAACATCTATAGATGACAATATTAAAAAATCAACAACAAAGAAGATTGTACCGGTGCCACAAATTAAGAGATAGATTAGTATGCCAGTCACAATAGCCAAGAATTTACCATATAAGAATATGGTCCTAATGTATATACATCTTCAGAAATCATTTTTAGTGACTGTATAAACTGCACATTCCGTATTTAAATTAAACATAATAGGTTAAATAAATAGGAAAGTGATTGAACAAAGAAAGCAACTTAAAGTTGGCCCCTGTGATCAACAGACATATAAAGCTCTCTCCAGAGATATTCAACGAAGATGCCGAAAAGACAAACAAGAATACATCTCTGAAATCTGCCAAGAAATAGAAAATCACGGATATCGAAATGAAACCTCTTCCGGAAAGTGAAAATTCTTGCGAGAGAATTTAAACCCAAGAACTATGCAATAGAGGACAAACATGGTATTATCATAAGTGATATCGACAGAATGTTGGAAACATGGAAAAACTATTGTTCAGAGCTCTACAGGGAAGAACACGTAAATCTAGGCCACACTTCAGCCCTCGAAAACACTAAATACAACCCTGAACCTGGAATTCTGCTGTCCGAGATTGAAGAAGCTGTAACTCACCTCAAGAAGAATAAATCCCCTGGCTGCGATGATATCACGGGAGAGCTCTTTCAGAACATGGGAGACAAAGGATGTTACATAATGTGGAAACTTTGTAATAAAATTTGGAGATGCGGAAAGTGGCCCAGAGAATGGCGCACATCATTATGCATACCAATCCATAAAAAAGGAACAACTACAAAGTGTAGTAATTATCGTACCATCTCACTGATTTCCCATCCAAGCAAAATATTACTAAGAATCATTAAACGCCGTTTGCAACAGTACTTAGACAACCAAATTCCCAAGAACAAGCAGGCTTTGTCAAAGGGAAGGGTACGAGAGAGCAAATCCTTAATTTGCGTCAGCTCATAGAAAAGGCCCGCGAATTTAAAATTCCAATAATAATCTGTTTTCTAGACTACCAAAAGGCATTTGATTGTCTAAAGTGGGAAGTTCTCTGGACAGTTCTTCATGAGATGGGAGTTCCAGATCATTTGGCAATATTAATTAAAAACTTATACGAAGATAACTCAGTTAAAATAAGAATTGAAAACCAGCAATCTGATACCTTCAAAACCAGCAGAGGTGTACGACAAGGCTGCATACTATCTCCAGACCTGTTCAATTTATATGGAGAATACATAATGAGGAACGCACTCGATGGATGAAGAGGCGGCATCTCCATTGCAGGGAAAAAGATCTCAAACTTAAGATTCGCAGACGATACAACACTGATAGCAACATCTGAAGAGGAGATGTCGAGACTGATAAAGAGAGTAGAAACCGAAAGCAACAAGTGTGGGCTCAAGATTAATAATCAGAAAACAAAAATCATGATTGTGGACCACGCGAATATCCTCCAAACAACAGGCGCCCTAAATCAATTCGAGAAAGTAGACGAGTTCACGTATCTAGGATCTTCCTTAAGCAATGCAGCCTCCTGCCATACGGAAATTCGCAGAAGAATAGGAATGGCCAAGAACGCGATGAGTCGACTGTCAAAAATATGGAAGGACCGCTCTTTGTCCAAAAAACTCAAAATGAGACTGGTACGGACACTCGTTTTTTCAATCTTTAGTTACGGTGCCGAAACATGGACAATAAAATCAGAGGATAGGAAAAGGATTGACGCATTCGAAATGTGGTACTGGAGACGAATGCTACGCGTCTCGTGGACGGAGCACAGATCCAATCAGTCGATTCTCGAAGAGCTAAACATTCAGACCAGACGTTTTTTGGCCACATTGCGAGAAGAGACAATGACAACTTAGAAAGACTAATTGTGTGCAGAAACGTAGAAGGACGTAGAGGCGAGGACGCTCACCTATCCGATGGTCAGATAAGTACAGAAAGCCACTGGAGAGACGTTTTCCGAGTCCATGAGAGCAGCCCAAAATCGCAAGAGATGGAGAGAATTGACAGCCCGCATTGTAGGGAATCACGATCCTCAGCAATGAGGAAACGACAAGGGAGAGAGGTTAAATATATTTATATAACAGTTTATTTTTATTTTTGTTCTTGAAGAAAAACTATTGTATGTAACGAGGAAAAAGTGAGGTTATTACTCTCAAGTAATTTAAAGTTATTTTAGAGTAATAATGTGTCACTTTTTAATCTTAATACGTGAAGCACTGTCAACTGACATTAAGATCTTTATTTCTATTCTTATCATATTAGAAACCCAACTTACTTGATAATACAATAAATCAGGCGCGTCCATCGGAACTGTCCAGTTCAAATACGCTGGCTCGCCCGCATCGCATTCTAGCCGTAATGTTTTTGTAAATTCTTCAAAAGTTTCAGACTCTGCCGATTTGTCTATGCCTCTATGTGTCCATTCGCAGTATCTTCCGCTACAGATGGATACGCATATCCATCGTTGTCGTATTCGACTCCCGCAAACACTTTTTGCTTCTTTTGTTCTGCAACCGACTTTTGGCCGAATCCTCCTTCTTTGGAATCAGTTATATAGAATGGATGGTACCTAAGAATATAAAAAAATTATGATATAAAATAATATATTATTAGTACAGGAATTTGCAATCTGAACATTTGTTTTTCGACAAAACTGCAGCTAATTTATATACGCTCTACACGATTTGTAGGTATTTGGTTTCCAAAGTATTGATTATTTTCTCCAATTTCTTCCATTTTCTTGTTATTCTTTTGAATTTTTACCCCAAAGTTTTTTACTGCTTTCAGTCATCTCTTTATTGTACGTCCTGTTGTCTTTTTTTCCCATTTCTCACTCTTTTAATGTTCGTTTAATATGCGTTTGATTCCGGAACAGCGGAAAATGGTCTTCTTCTTAATGTGTCATACTCAATTTTGACTACTGTCATAGGTACTCCCTTTGCATATATCTGTAGCGTATAATTGAGTGTGTCCAAATATACGGGACTTACAGTTTCATGTCGATTTCGAATAACTAAGATTCCCGTGCGAGCTACCTAAGCCAAAGTGATATAGTACTCGAAAATATTTTAAGCGTAGGGAAAGGGAGGAGAGATGAGCCACCTTTTAGAAAACCGAAGCCTGTTTCTTTATTAAATAAACATCAGAATAGAAAAAAATTGTATAATATAACTTAAGATTGGTATTTGCTAAAACTAGAAAGTATAATTCTTAAACCTAAAAAAATATATAATGCTCTGGCACGCCATTGGTCCATCTCTCCTCAACTATGGAGGTGAGATGGGTCACTAGGAGTAGGAGAGATAGACCAAGCTAAACCTTTTTCTTTTTAATAGCAAGAGACTTTTTTCACTTGTAACAGAGATTAGCGAAGCCAGTATAAGTTTACACAAAAAATACATTGTAACCAGTCATCTTTTTTACATGTTTTTTCATAGTCCTCGTTGCACCCAACACACTCATTCTCAATATCACTCATGTTTTCATCACCACTAGTGTCGTTTAGAGTAACATCTTCAGATAGTGATGATTCGCTTGGTTTTCTCTTACGTTTTTGTTTTTAATAGGTTTTGAGCTTTTTTTTTAATCAAGGCACCCTTCTTCATTGTAATAAAGTCTTGAGCACGAATCTCTCCAGTTATTTTTTTACGAATTCTCTTTATTGCTGCTGCTAATACAGGCACTAGCGTTACCTCATCAAGAGCCTTTCCAGGATTTATATCTTCATCAGTAATTGATGACTTGTTTGGGCTACCGTGCATGGATATTTTATCACTGATTAGAGAGGGACCTGATTGAGGAGATTCTGATCTAATTGGAAAATTCATTGTTTCTGTTTCTGATGAAGTGAGTGTCGAAAATGCATATTCTGGGATTATTAATGGATTAAACGGATAAATTCCCGTAGATTTAAATGCAAAGGCCGCATTTTAAACAGTTGCTGAGTTTCCCCATGCTCGACCTAAGAGTTTACCAAACTGAAGGCGTTTTAGAATCCTGTTTGTGTTATTCTGTACCATAAAACGGCATTTAGCATAAAAGTTACTTTTAAGTGACTTAAAAAAAGCACGATCCAGAGGCTGTAGGTAATGTGTTGTGTGGGATGGCAAACAAAATAAAATTATTTCGTTTTGGTCTGCAAATTCTAGTAGATCCAGGTTGGTCGTATGGGATGTGTGTTTATAACTATTCTAAGAAAATGTCACTGTTAACGTTTGCTCATTTTTCCGACATCCTAATCTTGGAACCCGCTGGCATACCATAATGCCACTCCTAAATTTTATTTTTCCCTTCAAAAATGCAATATGGGGGCAAGAAAATCTCTTCTGCGCTACAGCAAGCTATCACACTGATCGTTTCACCTTTTTCCCCAGGGGTTACGCTAGGAATATATTTTCTAAAGATCGTGTAATTGAGGTGTTCTCAGCTTTTCTAATTGAGATTTCAGGTCTTCGTTTCAAAAAAGTTCTATTCATTTTTTACCAGCTTAATCTAAAAGTAGACAATAAGTAACTTTTGTATCAGATTTATGAATTTAAAAATTTACCTTTTTCTACATAAAATTATTTGGGATTACTAATCGCTGCGCTAAATTAAAGGCCATGATTCTTAATTCAGTTCTGATTGGTGCAAACCTGCTTTTGTAGTTTTTTTTATTCGCTCCGTGCGTGACCATGGTAGGGGTACATTGAAACGATGCCAGCGTGCGTAGCGGCGAAATATGACAAAATTGGAATATTGGACAAAATTATTTTTACGCATAAATTTTATTAAACATGCGTGCAAATACATGTTGCGTATTTAATTGTGCTAATAATAGCAATAATGCTGAGTGTAGTTTTCATAGATTTCCAAAGATTACATATAAATTAGAGAAAAGAAAAAGATGAATTCGTGCTATTAATATGAAAAAGTAAATATCACATAATTTCATTTTTATGCAATTGAAATAGGAAAAATTTAAATAATTTACCTTGAATGATATTTCGTATGGCTTCGAGCTAACTGCAGATGACTTTAGCTTTTATATCATAACTTTTACTATTATTGTTTTTAATTATATGCTTTTTTGTGTGAAAAACTTGATTTGCCAGTACTAGATTTTTTCCTTTCTTTTCCGTTTGGAGTTGAAAAGCTATATTATGATGAATTTTGAGAAACCCAGTTTTTAATACTACATTTATTTTGTACATAAACTTTAAAATATAGTTAAAAAACTAATTTATTAATAATTGTCAATTTCGCATGTATTTAACAATGCCAAACATATGTCATATGTTTAACCTGAAAATTGGGATTCCCAAATTGTCAGATGAAGGCGGTAGGTGTCGCGTCAGTCACGCACAGAGCGAATATGGCTAACGATTTTAGCTTCAACAGCAGTTCCTAATAAACAATCTGGACCCAATCGGTTTATCTTAACCATATTGTTTGTTTTTATTCGACGTTTAAAAGTCGTTTTGGGTATTCCAAATGCTTTGGCGGCTTCATTAATGTCCATGTCACCATTCTTTACGGCATCTACGGCATCACTTAGCTCCCTAGAGATCCAGTTACCTCTCTTTTGGTATTTTTGCTTAAAACTTTATTTTAAAAATGATCTTTTCGGAATTTAAATCATTCCATTATCAGTTTAATAAAAAGTTGTTAAAAACATTGTTTGACCACAGAAAAACACTAGAAGGACATCAGTAATAAAAAATTTTTTTTTACCTCGATACACACGAACACCACGTGCTTTGTATTCAACAGGTATACTTGCCACTCCTGGATATCTCCACTTCATGGTTTTGTTCCAGTTTTATTTTTAATTTCAAATAAAATTATCACACGTTGTAATGTGTTTTACCTGTACAAACTTATGGAGTATAGACTTTAACACTCACACAAAAATCTGCGAATAAACTTAGAGTTACACAACGAGCCATGGAACGTGCAATGCTGAACGTGAGCCTTCGAGACCACATAACAAACCAACAAATCAGGCGAAGATCAGGAGTTCAAGACGTCATCGAAAGAACCACGACGCTTAAGTGGAACTGGGCAGGGCACTTAGCCAGAACACAAGATGGACGGTGGACAAGACGTATTATGGAATGGAGGCCCAGAAATTATAAAAGAAGCCGAGGACGACCACCGACTAGATGGACCGATGACATTAAACGTGTAGCGGGAAACTGGCTACAAGCGGCCCAGTGTAGAGAACACTGGAAAGAACTGAGGGAGGCCTATGTCCAGCAGTGGACGCGATTGGCTGATTAATGATGATGACGTTGTAATGTAAACATAGCAAGAAAATAAAGAAAAAAATAAGGGTTAGTAGCCTAGAGAGGAGTAATAATTATTTAAATAATTATTATTATATCCCAAATCAAATTATGAACAAAATAATTCGTCATAGATAACGTATATATTTCAAATTAAACAAAGAATGATAACTCGACCTAGTTTAAGTGTATTACATGAGTTCAATATCAGTTTGCAACAATTGTTTAAAAGAAAAAATCACGTTTTAAAAACAGAGACCTTTGTTGAAAAAATAACACCGAGTACTGAGTCAGCAAAAGCTCGTCCTCGGTAAATGAGAATACGAGTTCATAAAAAACGAACGAAGTGGGCCAAGAAGTAAGTAAGAGTGGAACCGTCGTGAAGGCTCCGCGCCACAAGGCGATCAAGTGAACGCGCTATTGTATTTCGGCGGGATAATAGTACCGTATAAGTGCCGGGTACCGAGAGTTTCGAAAACTCGTGATAGCGCGCGGTGCCTCCACAACTAGGGCCTAAATACGCGAAGGTAACTAAATCTATATACTAACCCAAGTAATATATAGAAACGCAGATTGTCCACCCTTTAATTTCTTGCTAAGGTCTTTTCTCGTCTCCCTTCGCGCCTGAACGAATCTTTATGGGTTAGGTTTACTGTCTATTAATTTTAGAGATAATGCTAATATGCGGTATCTTTAAAACACCCAGTATAGAAAAACTTTATCCGTAGTAAACATATACTCTTGATGTTGATTTCTGATCGCTATCAATCAAATACTTTTGTCAGCTTTTAAACATGTTCCAGATCACTTCCCGATCTCCACTACTATTACATGGTCATCAGCAAACAAAAATATATAAATATAGATTGTTTATTCAAGCTTAATTGATCGACGAACCAATTCATCTCATTAAACAGTTTGTTTACTCACCTTGCAGGATTACTACTATCATCTCCGCCTTCCACAACAAACAAATAAGTTTGACCTCTTTCCAAAGTTAGTTCCGGAATAAGAAGGTCATTGATGTACCACGCAATACCCCAAGATGGCTGCTTCGTTATAGGTGTATAGCCCCTTTTACCACCAGTCGGACCCAACCTTGCGTTAAAAGTCGTTTGACCTAAATTATAAAAAAAACACACATTTTTATTACAATTTAAAACTTAAAACTAAAACAATAAATTACGGATTTATGGAAAACAATTTTAATTAACAGACATGAATATTAGCTACTAATACCTACTGAAATATTCTCAATTATATAATTTAGATTCCTTTAAAAAAAATGGAAGATTATTTTATTTTTATTATTTAAAACCCATAAGTTTTAGTGAATATTGAATATGTGATCCACGGATCCACCATGAATTATGAAGCGACCAATATCTACAAGTGAACATTCCTACCCTTTCAATAAAAAGGTTGTAAAATCTTCGTTAACTGTCAAAATAATGTTAAATTAGATACATAAATAAGCCCAAACAACTAACCTATTAATCTTGCAGGAGGCCAAGCAGAAGGCCCACTTGCAACGCCCAAATCTTCTAAATTGCCTGTACAGTCATGATCATCGAAATTACTGAAATCTATTCTAAAATCTTCTGTTGTTTTGTCAGTGACTGTATGAGCGTTAGCTTCTTTTAACGAATTTAGAGGTCCAAAAGCTGCGATGACAGATACTTCACCTTCAAGCTGTAAACGTGTTCAAGTTTAAAATAAAACAATTTAAAACAAGTTCATATTAATTATTTGATTTTATTGTAAATAATAATAGTATTAATGCATATAATAATCAGTTAAGAAAACTTTTATTTAAGTACGATCTCATTTCTAAATGCATTATTGAGATGAAGCCACACCGAAGTTTTCGTGTGATTCTTCTTCTTTAAGTTTCATCTTCTAAATTCTTCTTCTTCTTCCTTCTTGTATGTAGGCTTTAAAGCCTGTTTCTTCTTCAATATTAGCCTCCTAAATTATTTAAATTGTCGCACCATCTTTTTCTTGGTCTGATGGTTTTAGATATGCCAGGTCTTGCCTCCGTCGTGTGTGTTAATATAGGTCTAATTGCTGCTTTATAGATTCTTGTTTTTGTGTCTTGTCTTAGGTGTTTGTTCTTCCAGATTGTGTCATTAAGAGATCCCGCCGCTTTACTTGCTTTTAAGCTTTGTTATACTTCTTCTTCAACATCTCCGTAACTAGTTATATCTATTCCCAGATATCTAAACCTTGCTTCCTGCTTTATTATGTTCCCATCAATTTTAATTTTACACCGTAGTGGGTATTTAGATGTCATACATTTCGTTTTTTCTGCTAATATTATCACATTATATTTCTTAGCTGTTATATTGAAGATATGTATTAATGTGAAAAGGCAGCAAATATTTGATTTCACGCAAAAAGCGCCTTTGTATCTGTTGATACGTATTTCGACCTAATAGGTCTCATCAAAACAGTTATTCAAAGGTGTTCTCAAGGTGAAAGATCAATATTTTCTGTCTTTTAAGAAGCAACAATAAAATGGCTTCAATACGGACGCAATAGCGACATCTGACAATAAAACCGTAAAATAGTTTCGAAACACAATTCAGATTTCCGCTTAAATCTGTGCTTTCTAAAAATTGCAAAGCAAAACAGACGTTGATAAAGGTATTAAAAGAGACGTGGGGAATCTAAAATTTGCAATCCACGACAAGTCTTATCAACTAAGCAGAAATCCTTAGCGAATTGGTCTGAAATTGGTCGAAATCTTTTAACATAATAACTATTTTTTTGTTCTCGTCTCCACATAGGCTAAAGACATATTAATTAGTTCGTTTACTTATAAACATCCTTAATTCAAATTAAATAGGCCACTTTCTTCATTACGCACTATTCCTTAGGACAAGTTCAGGACAAGGACAGTTCCTTATGATTATCATCAATAATTAATAAATAAAAGTAAATGTGCATAAAAAAATATAACTTAAAGCCAATTTAAAGTAAAGTTAAACTTTTTACTAACTGGGATTGGTTGATCATTAATTGCCTCGTTTGTCTTTAAAGGTCTTCTGAACTTAACCGTAGTAATTCCATTTTCTCTGGATCCTGATATAAGTGTAGCATCGTTTCTTCCTCCAATACGTTCATCGGGACATACACCTTGCTTACCATCGCATTGAGCAGTGTGAGAAATGTAGTAATCTACAGCATGGAAGGTACCATCGTCGGCATCGTAGAAAGCCACTATGACATCTCCACCAACCTAAAAGAATTCTTATCAGTATATTATAGACTAGCAAATATTATAATAAATCATAAAGTTGGAACGAATTAAACTAACGTTTCTTAAATGGAGCGCTCTTCTTTTTGATTCATATTTACGTAAAAATCTTAAAAAATTCGACGCGCTCTATAAAATAGTAAATTCAATGTTAATTGCTTATTGGTGAAAAATTAATATGATCTAGTTAAATAATCATCTAGTTAAATTTGGTATGTAATGCAGTATTCTTATATTAATACAGTTTATTTTGATATTTTGATAAAAATACTCAATTTTTTCAATTTACAATTTTCTTTTTATTAATGACATGTACTATAATTTTTATTAGAATTAAAAATTTTATTTGAAATTCTTTCGATTATATATAGCATTCCGTATCATTTCTGCACAATGTTCAAATGACCTCTAATCGTTTTTAGATTTTTAAATCTTTAGACACCAATTTTTTGTAAAACGTATATAATTGTTTGATTGAAATGATTATTTTATTTCCAGATGTATTCATATTCATCTTCTCTCACGGTTTACCGAACCATAAGAAGTATTCAGTTCAAAAGAGTACACACAAAACCTTTCACCTACTAAAGTACCAAAATTAGGAATATTGTAAAAAATGAAATTTAATATTACCATTTACGTTAACTCAGATAAAAAAGTTCAAGAGAACGGAGTACCACAAGGATCAGTTATAAGCTCAACCCTTTTCCTAATAGCCATAAACGACATACTTCAACAATGCTCACCGATTATTAAAGGAAGATTATACGCTGATGACTTGGTTTTACTTGCCAAAGGAGAAAACTCTACATCTACTTAAAAACATTTACAACAAACAATCATTCAATTAGAATCATTGTCTAGGACTATTAGATTACAATTTTCACAGACAAAAACTAACTGTATTTTATTCACAAGAAAACATAACACTCTAACATTGCATCTGAAGCTATACAATTTAGGTATGGCTTTAGACCAAAAATTCTTCTGGAAAAAACGTACAGAAGAACTTAAAAAAATCATGCCAATAGCAGGATTAAATTTTGTGAAAACTATTTCTAGCAAAAACTGGGTGCATATCAAAATACACTATTACATGTATATAAATTTTTAGTTAGATTCAAACTTTACTATAGTGCGATAGTTTATTTCATCAAGCAAAGTATCAGTATTGAAAACTTTAGAAACTGTTATAAAAACTGGTGTATTGAAAATAGCTACAGGTACATTTCCGAACGACACCAGTTGAAAGTTTACAATGCTTAACAGGAGAACCACCCCTAAGTTTACGATGCAAATACCTTTCTCTCTCATATGCTTCTAAATAGCTAGTAATAAAGAACACCCTACTTATACCAATACGTTCACAGATCGATTTCAAGACACTTTCTCTACAATAAGACATGATCCACCATTTTACGAAAGAATTAGAAGAAACCTTCATGACCTACATCTTGAATTTCATGAAATTCTCGCAACAAATTTTCTAACTTCTCCACCTTGGCTAAAACCAATTCCCAAGATTAATACTAACCTTAGTATATATAAAAACGTGAGACTATAGCAGACTTGATCAAACAATCATTCTCAATAGAAATGGAAACTTATAAAAATCACTATAAGATATACACTGACGCATCCAAATCTTCAGACGGTGTTGGTGCAGCCATCCTCACTACCAATACATCCTTAAAATTTAAATTCAATACCATTACTTCGTCATACACTGCAGAGTTGTTTGCAATATTACAAGCACTTATTCACATAAAAGAGTCGAAACAGTCCCCGTCTCTCATAATAACTGATTCACTAAGCTTACTTCACACTATAAAACATTTATATATCAATAATCTAATTGCCTCACATATCCAATCAGAAATAGAGATTCTAAGTAATAATAAAATCACTGTTTACTTCATGTTTGTTCCATCACATTCAGGTATACAAGGAAATAAAGAAGAAGATGAACTAGCCCGCTTAGCATCCTCCGTCCAGGACTCCATATTTATTAATGAGGTTTCTTCAGATGACTTTAAGTCAGAAATAAAATATAAAGTATTAAGTGCGTGGCAAAATAAGTGGAGTGTATCACAAAATAAATTTAAGGAAATCAAACAATTAGTGAAACCGTGGCTCCAACCCACAGCGAATAGACACGACCAAGTGAGAATAACACGTTTGCGATTAGGACACAGTAACTTTACACATAAACACCCTCTTTACGCTAACTGTACAGCCAATGTGAAGCATATACTGACTCAGTGCAAAACCTATGAAATAGCAAGAAAAAAGCATACTATCTAATAACAATATAAAGAAAGCCATTAAGAAAAAACATGAACATTAAAAACACAATAAGTTATCTTAAACACTCAGGACTGTATCAATTATTGTAATTTTTTCTCAACTTTACCTGTATTTTATTTTTTAGATCGCTAGTAACCCTTGTGGTTACAATGTAAATAAATAAAAAAAAAATGTTACCATTTGGGGTTTTCCTGATGCTCCAGATAACCCGAATGCTATGTACTGATTTTCAGGTATTTTTGCGGCAAGACTTATATCCACAAACTCATCTTCGATTTTCCATCTAACTTGCAATCTTTTATCCAAAAATTCTCGACAGTTTGCAGGAGGTGATGTTCTCGGCGTAGTACTTGTCTAAAAAAGTAGTCTTAGTAGTAGTTTAGAAAACTTAACATTTACCAAAGAGTACACATAAAAACTATTGTGAGCTATGTAAAAGGATATTTATGTTTGAAATACAACTGGGATTTAATATAATATAAGCCAATTGTCAACTAATAATTGTATTTTATATCATTGTCTCCGGTCATATTTTTAAATTTACTTACCGGGTTATACCACCAAGGAGGCTTGAAATGAAAATATTTGAATTGAAGATATTTCTGTCAATTTTAAATAAATTTAAAAATAAAAATATTTGAGCAAATGTTATATATTGTTTTACTTTTGAAATACATCCGAGAATGACAAAAGAAAAAACAGTTGAAAGTTGGATGGCATAAAAAATAGGAATAAAAGTAAAAAAATTAATTCATACCTGAGAAAAAGATTAAATAAATAGAAAATTACTATGGGTTTAGGAAGTTATACAATACACATCACGACATTGTTTTATTGACCATACAACTAAATGGCAATCGCTGTGACATGTTACACGTTTCCACTCTATATTAATTTCATAGTAGGTATGAATTGTTGTAGTTGTTATATTAACATTAAAAAATTTCAAACGAACTTCTGAAAAAATTAACAAGTAATCAATAAAATACCTATTACGATGTTATACCGTCCAAGAAAAAGTGCAACTTGTAACGTACTTTCAGGGTCATTCGATACGCGAAGTAATTGATTTTTATTTTACATTCGAAAATAGCCCCCACCAAGTGTTACAACAATTAAAATACCATTAAACATTTTCAAACTTTGGGATGTGTAAACAGTTGTGAAAAGTGTCATGAAGGTAATGAACCAGAACCACGTGTTAGACCTGTGGATGAGGAGCGTCAAAACAGGGATATTAATATTTGTGCTTTTGTGGAAGCTAGTGAACCTGCAATAGCGTACAAATTGCTACGAAAGTTAACGTGAATGCTCGAACAGTCCAGTACCAGTTTTCTCAAGAGGAATGGGTATCACTGTTTTAAGATACAACCAACACAAGAACTGTTTGCGGAAGATAACTTTAGCGGATGGAGTTTTGTGAATGTATGTTAGATTAAACAGAATGAAAATGTACACTTTTTAAAAAATATTTTATTATCTTACAAATCTTCATTTTCCTTATATAAAAAATACAATCCATCCGTTGCAAGGTATTATTCTCGGAAAAATAAGCACCTCAATGAGATCATTCGACGCCTTCACGCTAATTTTCAGGAGGTTTATTTCCAACAGGATGGGTGTTCAACTCACAACTCTAGAGCAACTATTGACTTCCTCAATCAAACGTTTCCTGATCGACTGATAAGTACATGTGGTACAATTAAATGGCCCGCTACATCTTGTGACTTAGCGCCTAACGATTTCTTTTTTTTGGGGTTTTGTCAAAGAAAACATTTATAGGCATCAGTTTGAAAGGGCTACCAACCTAGTCGAATTAAGGGCAAAAACACTTCATTTCTCTGCAAGCATTAACACCAGTCCCTACTTCCAAAATGTAGGAGGAAATCTGTATGACAGATTTGGTTTCTGTTTAGCACAAGGAGGTGGAATATTATCAGCCCTTAATTTTGTTAATCTGCTTTCGTATTTTTTATTTTTTGTTAGGTACATGTTACGCAAGTTTGTAGGTTCTGATTAGATAGTATTTTATTATGTTATTAAGTTTTTGAAGTTATACTTCTATACGCACGGTCGGCGTTGTAAAGTTGCATGAGAGTGAATCTGTGAAACCATTACATATGTAAGATAATACTAAGATAGAGAGACAGAAGATAATATTTTCTCGCTCTTCCTCTCTCGAAAATAAAAATTTTTCTTTTGTATATATATATAATATATAATATATATATATTATATATAATATATAATATTGTATATAGTAGTTGTGAATTTCTTGAACCGTATTATATTTAATATAAAATTTGTGTTTCTTGGGTTTAGGTTCAATAATGATATATTATATGTGGAACTAGATTTAGATTTTCCATAACAATCAACGTTTTCGACAGGAAACCCTTGCCTTTATTATTTTAAGGCTTTTAAAATCAACTGTTTGACCGAGAACTATCAATGTTGAAATGCGTTAGTGTAATATCTAATTGACTAATCTTTTACGGTGTTTGGTTCATAAGTTGGTGGTTGTATCTGGTGAAATTCGAATCCCAATATGATTTTTTTTTTGTGTTTTTGAAATATTTAAAAAACCCGCACGTTAATCTTATTAAATAAATGTTAATATATGCAAAAATGCTTAAATTTAAAATAAAATGAAGTTGTTGGTTTTTTATTTTTAT